TATTTTATTTATTTTATTTATTTTATTTATTTTATTTATTTTATTTATTTTATTTATTTTATTTATTTTATTTATTTTATTTATTTTATTTATTTTATTTATTTTATTTATTTTATTTATTTTATTTATTTTATTTATTTTATTTATTTTATTTATTTTATTTATTTTATTTATTTTATTTATTAACATCGTTTTTACACTGAATACTGATCTTCAATTATTGTTCTTAATTAATCTTAATTGATCTCTCGTTGTGGATTGTTGAGTTACCTTTATTTGCTATTGACTTTAGTTCCAAAACAAAGCAGAAACATTTGAAAAGTTTCATTTAATAGAAATCAACGAGGGAAATCTTGGCGTTTACTGTCGTCATCAGGATGTATGCATACACCTTAATTTACTTGTTCAATTTAAAGTACTCTCAAAACAAACCAAACAACTATATAATTCGATTACGGTATCTAATCTATCGTACTGTATCTTTGAGTCAGGAATTTGACGCTCGCTTGACAACGGAAAAATAAATTAAATAAGTTGGGTTTTACCGATGTGCAGGTAGCTCATTTCCCCTATTTGTAAAAAAAAAATCTCCATTGGGTTACCTGCATAGCATACCTTTTATTGATTATTGAAGAAAACTTGCAAAGAAAAAACAATCTTGATTATCTTCCATGAAATGAGGTAGGTCGGATAGCAAGTTCCCAAGTGTTTTTCAACGACCAGATATGCTCACAAATAAGCCACATTTTTTTTTAATTTTTGTAGTCACTTTCTGACTTGGACCAAGTTAAACCACTTCAACTACGAACGCATTATAAAATGTGTGAGAAAAACTCGTGAACTTGAAATGATCTTGAGAAGAACCTGGGAACAACGTGATGTAAACTTGAAAGGAACTGATATCTTGAGAACATCGTAAAGTCTATGAGTACAGCTTATGAGGAAATTGACAGAAGCTTATGTAGACCATGAAAGGAATTTGATGAAAACTTGAAGAGGAATTTGAAGAGATAGTAAAACCTTGAGAACTCTGGCAGAACTTGAAGAAAATGAACTTGATACTTTTTGATATAAGTTAACTTAAGAGAAATTTTAGTAAAAGCTTGAGAAGACATGAAGATAATTTGAGAACTTGATAGGTACTTGAAAACTTTAACGAAACTTACAGAGAATATAAAAAGGGCTTGAAAAGAATTGAAGAGGAAATTAAAAAGTGAACGCGAAAATAATTTGAGGAGAACATGAACTACGAACTTATAAATTAAGATGGACTGCTGATCAAACAGTTGCATAAAGGTAGAAATGGCCCTAGCATGGGCGCAGCCATGATGTGCACGTTTTAGTTCTTTTCTAGGGGAATTTTCCTAGTGCTCAAGTTTTGAGACTATTGCAGCCTTGGAAAATGACATATGTCACAGTAATTTATTTAGAAAACGTGAGGTTAATACTTGTTTATTAGTTGATTTGAACTTCGCGCCAAGTGTCATTTGTCAATTCAGCATTAGCAGTCCATCTTAATTTATAAGTTCGTGACATGAACGGAACTTGCGACAAATTTTGTCACAATTTCAGAAAATTGAGAAAAACATAAAAGAATTAGGTTGGATAAACATGAGGGAGAACAGAAGAACTCACGTTTAAGAGATCGCGATTTAAGAGAACTTGAGAAAAACTTTGGAGAAATTGAGAACAGTGTCTCTAGATTAAATCTCGAGCGCCACCAGGAGTTTGTCGATCCTTGCTCCTGGTCAAGCACGGTCAGTTTCGGATCAATTTCGCCAGCCACCGGTAAACAGACAGAGAAAACGGAAAACTCCAGGAAACTTACGGCCAGTCACTCACGAATAATCTAAAACAGATTTACGCTAGATCAAAACGGTAGTGATTTCCCAAAGCTGAAAAGAACACAAATTCACTAACGGTATCTACTAGCTGCGCGAAAATGAAACAAAGAAAACAAACCCCCTTTATACTTGACGGAATGAAGATATCGAGCGCTTACCTTTCAAAAGCAAAAAAATGTAAACCAAAATGACATAAAGCCAAAACAGAAAAACGAGATCCTCCTAAATCGTGCTGTTACCTTACATAAACTTCCCAAAATACGGAAAGAGAACGTCCAAAATTCCAGCCGGCAGCCGTGATCGGGTGATAATGTCCAAAAATTAAAACTTTTTTATTTAATTTCTCGCCTTCTAGTCATCATAATAAACTGACACCAATTTTAAAATTCAAGTTAATTAAGCGCGCTTCATTTGAGACCAGACACTGCAACACATCTCCTTGGATACCGATATTAATAGCCGGTCTGAAATTTCCAAATTCTGTATCCCTGTAATGTCTATTGTTACATGGAATTCGGATCAGTCTCAAAAGGTCTGCGATATCCAAATAAACTGCACGGCCTTGCTCGTTTTCGTTTAACAATGGGAAAATAAAACCGTTCAATAATTAATTAACGGAGGGAAATCCTAAAATATTCTTCCCCTACGTCCCCATGCCAAGGGCTGTCAGATACTACAACAATAATTTACGCATCTCTACGAGAACAATTGAAAAAGGTAGAAAAGAAATAGACGTTCTTGTAAGGAAGCGCCCATCTAGGTATGGGGTAAAAATCGTAGCTTTCAGCAAGGTACAGGGCGATGTCCATGAACTTGGCAGGCCTACTACAGCAGACCATGGTTCTGCTTACTCATATCGTTAGTGTTCCGTTAGTGCACGTTAGTGCCGCTGAAGAAATCGTTAGTGCACAAAAGGAAACTTACTATTTTTTAAAAATATTTGTGGGCCTGCTAACTTCATGCCAGCCGACCCATTTAAGAAAATCGATGCAATCTTTACACTAGTTAAACTAGCAGCGTTAGTGCTCGTTAGTGCCGCCAATATAAACGTTAGTGCTCAACGTGTAACAGCTCAAAACGTTGTAAAAAGGGGTCTGCTAACTTCATGCAGCAGACCCACATTTGTCAAATTGGCCCTGTCCTAATGCGAATTTGAAGCAGCTCGTTAGTGCTCATTAGTGCTTCACATGCGAACGTTAGTGCTGCAAGGGATCCGCGTCAAAAAGGTACCAAACCACCTCAAAATTAAATTTGACTTATTGGGACCTGCCAACTTTACGCCAGTAGGCGAACGAACGAAATCCGTTTGATTTTCTACTTTAATCGACCGGTAACTATTAGTGCTCGTTAGTGCCGCCAATATAAACGTTAGTGCTAAAAGTGTACCAGCTCAAAACGTTGTAAAAAGGGGTCTGCTAATTTCATGTAGCAGACGCACATTGGTCAAATTGGCCCTGTCCTAATGCGAATTTGAAGCGGATCGTTAGTGCTTCACATTCGAACGTTAGTGCTGCAAGGGATCCGCATCAAAAAGGTACCAAACCACCTCAAAATTAAACGTGGCTTATTGGGACCTGCCAACTTCACGCCGGTAGACCAACAAACGAAATCCGTTTGATTTTCTACTTTAATCGATCTATCACTTTTAGTGATTGTTAGTGTTGCAAAAAAAAGTTAGTGCTCAAAGCGCAAGAGCTCAAGCGTGAAATTATGGGTTTGCTAAATTCATGCAGCAAGCCCACATTTATTAAAGTGGTCCTGCCTTAATGCGAATCTGAAGCTCCTCGTTAGTGCTCGTTAGGACTTCACTTGTAAACGTCAGAAATAGAAACCAGAGCTAATAAAGACATCACTAATTTAATCGTTATATAGTTATTCACAAAGCAAACTCATATTTTCACATCTTGAGCTGTTGCGCTTTGAGCACTAACGCTTTTTTTTGCGACACTAACGAACACTAATACTAATTGATCGATTAAAGTAGAAAACCAAACGAATTTCGTTTGTTGATATACCGGCGTAAAGTTGGCAGGTCCCAATAAGTCAAGTTTAATTTTGAGGTAGTTTGGTACCTTTTTGACGCGGATCCCTTGCAGCACTAACGTTCGCATGTGAAGCACTAATGAGCACTAACGAGCTGCTTCAAATTCGCATTAGGACAGGGCCAATTTGACAAATGTGGGTCTGCTGCATGAAGTTAACAGACCCCTTTTTACAACGTTTTGAGCTGTTATACTTTGAGCACTAACGTTTATATTGGCGGCACTAACGAGCACTAACGCTGCTAGTTTAACTAGTGTAAAGATTGCATCGATTTTCTTAAATGGGTCTGCTGGCATGAAGTTAGCAGGCCCACAAATATTTTTTAAAAATAGTAAGTTTCCTTTTGTGCACTAACGATTTCTTCAGCGGCACTAACGTGCACTAACGGAACACTAACGATATGAGTAAGCAGAACCATGGTCTGCTGTAGTAGGCCTGCCAAGTTCATGGACATCGAAGTCCATTAATCCTGGTATAATAATTGCTTGTACGAAAACGGGTGCTTCGTTAAAGTAAAACTTTACAAAATACATTCGTTACGTGCTGGTAAAATTTGCCAAGGCTCGGTAGCTCAGTCAAAGCTTTTTGGGCGTTGCCACAAAATAAAATTCAGTAAAATAGAAGTTATTCCAGTAGGGGCCGCTATATTTAACGAAATTAAATGTACAACCCCATAACTTATATCCAAAATACATTAAACATGGAAATAGACTAGGATAGTAGCACTTTAATTCACAAAAAAATGATTATACATAAAAAAATCACAAATGTTTCATTTAGCGGTGCGATTGCAGCTAAAGAACGCACTGAAAGAAATCATTCCCCAAGTAATCCACAAACACTAAATAAAGAGTAAACTTGCCCATTTAGAGCAAAGCTAAGGATTCTAACGTAATAAATTGACTTCTCCTTCGGATCTCACAAATCAGCGCAAAAGTACAAAAAGTCTGCAAACCTTCTACTTCTTGTCTAGCACAGCGAAATATTCAGTTAAACTCAAATCCGGTTGATGCCCGATATTAAAATAGAAACGAATTACGCGTTGATTTTTAATAAAAATTTAATAAAAACCTCAAAAACGTACTAATGCCGTTTTTTTTTCTTTTCAGGTTTTCACATGGCTCCAAAACTAAGTGAGATCTTTCCGGAATCATGCCTTCTAATCGTAGTTGGTGTAGTGATAGGAGTAATTTTAGTTCACGTGACCGGTAGCGTTCACATGTCGCCTTTGACGCCCGATACGTTCTTCATTTACATGCTGCCGCCGATTATTTTGGACGCCGGTTACTTTATGCCCAATCGATTGTTTTTCGATCATCTCGGTACTATTCTGCTGTTTGCTGTTATTGGTACTATTTTTAATACGTTCGCAATAGGTAAGTGAGTATATGGATTGTTTCTAATAGGTACTGTTGTTCAAAGCACTAACAATCTAAATTGTGTCGATCGTTCATAGCTTGCATCAGAGGGGCTAGGTACTCTCTTGAGCGATAAACTTAATTGTGTTTCGTTTTCAATGCGCCACACTGTAATATAAATAATTACTTACTTTCTCATTTTTTAGATTAATATAATCTTATATGAAAACTGTTCAAAAAGTGTTCGGAGACAGTTTATTTAATGAAAACCACCGTGAAATATACCCCCTTTGTGGATATAGGTTGAGTGAAAACAACACAGTATGATTTCCCATTCTATGGACGATTGTTGCACCACCCTGTTATATGTGTTCGTTCATTATTTTATTACTTTCCTCGCGTTGTTGGGATGTGAGAGATAATCGGGAAGGAAATTGAATAAACCACAGAATGTTGTGCGTACGAAAAGATAAGAACATACTCGCACAAGAAGGCCCGGAAAACCTTCTTCGGGACAAAAACCCCGGTACTGCCCACATAAATACACGAAATAAATCAATTAGACTCACAAAATGTAAGAGGAATTACACAAATAACATCTCAAATTGTGCGATAAAGTCAGGTAATTGAATCAAATGCTGCATTTAAACAAATTTATAAAAACAAAGAAAAGAGACTTCGTAAACGCAAGCATAAAGCACGATAAATAAAATCAGGTAAACAAGTCAAATGCAGTTAAATCAAAAAGAACGAAACACAAGAAATGTACAAAATAAAAGTGGAAAACATGATAAATCAATTCAGTACAAAAAAATTGTAGGGAGCGGCACGTTAACAGAAAAAATCAATAGGTGTGATTAGGGGCAGTTTACCAAGTCTGAAATGTTATAACGATAATATTTCAAAATGTACGCAAGAAATACTGGACATATCCGAGACAAGTAATTAATTATGAATATGGACACGATACCTATAAACGTACGATCAATGACAGCGTAAGTGAAAGAAACCCCGCTCCCCTTGTATTTACCTAACGCAACTGTACTTTGACAAATTTACTAATGGAATAAGCTACATAAAGAAATGCATAAAGTGCTCCCCCTGAGTTAACGCAACATGACACTAAAAAGAGAAGTGTCCCTTTTGCAGTGCAGCCAAAATGTTAAATAAAAAGGTGCGTGTTACTATTTAGGCTCATTTAAAAGGATACATAGAGGAATTGTACGTATACATTATCTTAAGGGAATCTTTCTTTATGAATTCCATCAACTATCGTCGACAACTCATAAGATGAATCTTTTGAAATGGTCCTAGGGTTTCCCAAGCCATCATAGAAAATGTTGACTTACCCTATACTTACAGTTCGCAACTCTGGGAAAAAAACTACGAGCAGAGCCATCTACCTTTAACGTCGAAACGACTGACGTTTTGCGGCACTTTTGTATCTCAGTAGCAGTCGGCCCGTTGAGGATGTCACGAATGAACTACTACGTCGTGTAATCGGTCCTTTTATGTGTTGGGACGTGAGACATAATCGGGATGCGAATTAAATAAAAGACAGAATTTTTGTGCGTCCGAAGGGAATAAGAAAATGAAATTTATTACGCACGAGACTTGGTTCCGAAAAGCCAGGGAAAAAAGAACCAGCACTAAAATAACCTGGCATAACACACACGAATACAGGAAATAAATCAACTACAACAACAAAATGCAAGAGAAACTACACAAATAAAACACCTCAAATTGTACGATGAGGATGACGCAATCGAATCAAATGCAAAACACACGAGACACCATAAATTTAGTACAAAAAAACATTAAAAACATGTACAATCAATTGAGATAAAACAACTCGTAAAACGATAAATTGCATGTACATAGGAAACATCAAAATGGTGGGGATCTACTCCAGCCTCAGTTAACGTAAACTAATTTAACACAAAACGTGTAAATGTGAAAGTCGATTATCACACAAGCAAAACATATTTTAAATAGAGGAAATGTTTATTAGAGGGCCCCTAAAGGCTCATATTGCTAGGATACAAGTTCCGCAATCCGTATGAGACGAGCAGGCAACTGATACAGCGAAGAATCGGGCTGTGTTAGGTACCTGCCTGTACGAGGCGAAAAAAGAAACATATACAGGGACAAATCGGACTGTAGATACACAGTTCGTTTTTTACGGGGATACATTTCTAGATCAAACGCCGAGGGTGACATCATAATGCTAACAAAATAATGGCATAATCACCTGTACAGTATAAGAAACAAAGAGGATTCATATACCTAACAATATTCAAGGCAAAAGCATGGAGTGTGTCTCGCTTAAAAAAACAAATATTTTATGCAAAATATAAATAATAACAGATTTTGACATGAAATTCAATGATTAATAGTTAGTACAATAAAGTATAAAATGGTTACTACTTTTAAATACACAACACAACAAACAAAATAATCAATGAGAAAAACCCGGGAAAGTGTAATGATCGCCGCCGCGCCGTCGCCATTTTTCTTCGTTGGGTAACCCACGGTAACTTGTTCTCCTAGCTTCGTTATGAAAATCCCCTAGTTATCGGCATCTGCGCAAAACGGTCGAAATCGAAAATGTAGCACGATTGATGTATACAGAGCGTATCGTATTTTTGTTTTAGACGTAAAAGTGTGTTGCCTAACCATAGCGGTAGATTATCACACGTTTAAAAACTGTTTGTTGCGAGCTACCCGCGATAGACACTACATAAATCTGTAGTGCTTTCAAACTCGTATCTGCCTACGGTGTCGATTTAATTGTTTTACTTTGCAGGCGCTTCCTTGTGGGCCGTCGGCCAAACGGGCATGTTTCAGTGCGGCGAAACGCCGCCGCTCGACATGTTCCTATTTGCCGCACTCATCTCCGCCGTCGATCCAGTGGCCGTCTTGGCAGTCTTCGAGGAAATCCACGTCAACGAAATTCTGTACATAGTCGTTTTTGGCGAATCTTTACTGAACGATGCCGTCACCGTCGTACTTTACCACATGTTCGAGGCGTACACCGAGATGAAAGATACGGGCATCGTCACCATGGACGTGGTGGCAGGTTGTACAAACTTCTTTGTGGTGGCTGTTGGTGGTACTGTGATAGGAATATTTTGGGGTATGGCGACTGGTTTTGTAACTAGATTTACGAATGAAGTGCGTGTTATCGAACCTATTTTTATATTCGTGATGGCCTATATGGCATATTTATGTGCCGAAATTTTTCATATGTCGGGTATTTTGGCGTAAGTATTACACACCTGGTTTACTTAATATTAACACTTACTTATTATCTCCACGTGTTTTAGGATTACGTTCTGTGGTATTACTATGAAAAATTATGTGGAAGGAAACATCTCCCACAAGTCTCACACTACTATAAAATACACCATGAAAATGTTAAGCAGTTCTTCCGAAACAATTATCTTCATGTTCCTCGGTGTGGCTACTGTTAATAAGTTGCATATGTGGAACACATGGTTTGTAGTGCTTACAATTCTCTTCTGTTCGATTTACAGAGCGATAGGTAGGTGGATTAGGGAACACGCACGCATTCTAAAAAAAATCATTTTAGGAGTTATACTATTGACCGCGGTCGCCAACAAATTCAGACTTAATCAATTGAGTAAAGTTGAAAAGTTTGTTATGTCCTACGGTGGCCTGAGAGGTGCTGTGGCATTTGCCCTCGTCCTTCTTATTGACGAGGAGATCGTACCCTTACAGCCCATGTTTATGACAACCACCATTGCCGTTGTGTACTTTACAGTATTCTTTCAAGGAATCACAATTAAACCCCTCGTCAAAATACTTAACGTAAAGACTGCCGAAAAAAGAAAGCCTACTATGAATGAAAGAATACACGAAAAGGTAATAACGTAGTAATGGATATCAAACTTCTTGAAAATGGCCTACTTTCAGTTGATGGATCATTTAATGGCTGGTGTGGAGGATATTTTGGGACAGCATGGGAACTATCATGTCAGGGATAGGTAAGTGCATTGATTTTTTAACACTAAGGGCGGGATTCAGTTCAACTTATGGATGTTAAATGTAACGGTAACATGAAACACCAGTCCTAAAGTCAAGTATGCGTTTGATACAAGTGTGACCTTATTTGTAACTTTTACTCCGCAACTTTGGCAGCACATTAATCATTTGTATTAAGGTTGTCCAATCTGTGTGATCAATCATTATTTATACAGTCCGTCATATTCCAACCCAGTTTGATATATTACTGAAGTCTATAAGGAAGAGTTTTCTAGAACAATTTGAGCTATTTACAAGATTGAAAAAATTTCAGGAAAATTATCTTAGTTTTATGGGAGAACTAACAGAGGCCGCGAACTTCAAACCGCGTTTTGAAAATCTTCTTTTCTTGGATATAACAATACGGTCGGTTCCGCCCTTATCTCGCCGGCGAACTTCATGCCACCGATCAGTCAATGTCTTCTTGGATGGGACATACGCTCGGTTTCGGCGGCTGGGCTGGGCAAAATTTAACGGTCGGCTGAAGAGCAAGCGGCGGCCAGTTACTGGTGGATACTAAAACAAAATTAAAGCGCATAGCAATTTCCCTAAGCGGGAACAGGGAATCAGATTTGGTAGCGGTATCTACGGGAAATCAAATGCAGGAAGTCGAAACAATACCCCCCCCCCCCCCCGTTATAATTAATGATCGGGAAAGTAACAAAAAGCTTTCCTTGCAATTAAACGGAAAGGTAAAAATGAATGTGCAAGAAAAAGCAAAAGCTATGGATACGGTGCAATAAACAATGTAAAAGCAAGAATTAAACTGTGCGAATGGAAAATAAATTTACCAAAAAGCTCAAAATTACGGTATTTACAAAACGTAGCTTACGAAAGTAAAAGGCAGAAAGATTGCCTCTAAACAACGCTTTATCCTTTATAAAATTCAGCTATGCCCAGGAGGTTACAACGGTTTTATCTCTCGACGGCGTGTCCTTGCGATAACGCTCGAAAATAAAACTTTTTTATTTAATTACATCCGCCCAGACGTCTTTAAAATACTGGAGCGATGTCAAAATTGAAGTTTTTTAAGTGCGCATCTAACGCACGTAATCTCGACTTAATCGGCGACTGTTATCAGTCCTTCCAATTAATTAAGGTTACTTGTACATATTCAAATGGCGGGAATGAAATCTCCAAATTCGGCAGTCCAACAATGCCCTTTTGTTCCTTGGAATGTGAGGTCAAGCGGCGAGATCTCTTATCACGTTGATATTTTCTTTAAACTGCACGACCTTGTCAGTTTAATGCTGGTTTTCGTATACCATTAGAAATTTAAAATCGATTAATGGATAATTAAGGGACCTAAAACTTAACAAGATTGATTCTCTCTCTTCTTCCCTTTCGCTTTCCGCGGCTGTGAAAATAATTTGAATATTGCTACGGGAACGGTTGCAAACGGCAAATTAAATACTGGCTCTTATTTTCTTTAATGGGCAACTCTACAAATTAGCCCACTAATTTCTACCCTATATTTCCAACTCCTAAATCGATATAAATATTTTCGGAACAACAATCTTCGCAACGAAGCGCCCAACTTAAAACGCTTCTAGATACCGGGAGTTCATCTACGTGTTATCACTAACACTGGTAAATTACAGGCGGAAAACGGGTACTTCGTTACAACAAAAAGAATTTTATTTGCCGTCGCGAAGGTATACTCTTCGCAATTACTATACTCCTTGGTTTATCTGAATTTTTTGCCATCAAGTATTTAACCTCGTGGCAACAGCGTATTACCACTACGTCTATTTTTTGAAGTGCTAATCAACCTTGAATGCGTTACATCATTCGACCTGAAGGTGCCCCGATGTCGCTAAAGTTTTGCTACAGTATTGAAGGATGTTTGGTATTTCAACTGGTTTCATGCCGCTAAAAACTTTTGTTTGGACGATTGCATCAAAATTTCTGACAAATTCAAGACATTTCAAGTTGTAATTCCCAAATCTTGTAAATAAAAGATTCTGTTTGGTTCGGGTTAACTTTATGTTTCCCAGAACCACTTGAACACTGGTTTCTTATCTTAACGCGATTTATTTTCTCGCATGTTAGTTCCGTTTTCTTTCCTTATGAAGCGGTACACGTATAAAATTTCCTATACCGCAAAATTTGTAAAAAAATCTTCAAAGCCTAAGCGACCACCTGTTAAAAAGAGTCAAATGATTTTACTGTTTTCAAGTAGTTTAGAATAGGGTTGAACTATGTCAACATAGATAATTATTGTCATCGTTTCATTATACAATTTTTGTAAATCAGGTTGTAATAAATGGCCTGAATCAGCAAATGTCTATATCAAAAGAAAAGTAACTAGGAATTTTTAAATCTTTTTGTACCTAAATGGGAGAAGTGGCAACTGAAAATTAAATAAGATAAAAATGTGCAACTCGTCAATCAAATAACTTTCCCCAGTTGAGTTCACGAGGCTTGGAGCGCGGATCGCAGTTTATTAGCAATGTTACTGTATGCGTTCACGGTTCACCGTTCAATTGCATAACTGTCTGTATTAGATTAGTTGTACGTAACGCACCACAAATTTCTTCGAGCTTCGTCCTTTTGGTCACACAAAAATTTGATTTGCCGTCGCAAAAGTTTATTCTTCTTCCTCCTACCTCTATCACGCAAACTTACGGGTGACCGATCTACACTCTTCACTTCTTCATTTTTGACCCGCTTGACGCGACAGTCCTCGTGGCTACGAGCGTATTGCCCCCACGTCCTATTTTTCGAACTACTAATCAACGCTGGATACGTTACGCCCACATTCCTTATCGCCGGTGACTTATCCTTTTGAATTAATGACGACCTGATGGCGCCCCGATGTCGCACTGGAATATTCGCTACAATAGTGAAGAATTTTTCGTTTTGAAATGGTTTCATATCGCTCAAAGCTTTTTTTAGACGATTGCATGAGAATGTCACAAATTCTAGTCCTTTTAAGATGTAATTTCCAAATCTTATAAATAAAATATTATTTAATTAACTTTTACGCTTTCCTGAACCACGGCCTAAAATTTGTCACAATATCAAAATAGTTATTTGTACAACTAGTTTTGAAAGTGATACTTTTTTCATGAATTTGCAGTTTGATTAATGAGGGCGAAGCTCGAGTTAATCAAGCAAATTCATGGAAAAAAGACACTTTCAACACGTGTTGTACACGAAATTTTTTTCCATAGTGATCCATAATAACCCACAATTGAATAATTTTATTGACATTCGCGATTTACTGTCACTCAAAAATGGATGCTATTGTTCATAGACAGGACTACTAAACTCCACGGAAACGCATAGTAAAAATCGTGAAAAAAAGTACCTACCACTTTCCATACGATTTTTCTTTAAAAAAAGTCCGATAATTTCATCACTATGTAAAAAAAGATATTGCCAACACTCCTTTTTGTAGGCGTCAAAACTGCCACTAAATTTGCGTGTAGTATATTTACCAAAGAAAATTACGATATAATTGCCTACTCAATTTTCGCATAAGGTTGTAGTAAATGGCCAGTAGGTAAATTTTCGTCGAATACAGCAATATGTATGACCCTCATTTTGTATGTGCTAAGAATGTGATGCGATTTCCAATAATTTCATTAACTTTAATTAAATTGAATTGCTCTCCATTTTACTCACATCGTTCTAATGAATTTCATTGCTTTTATTTACCTAAAACGCTCTCAAAATGATTTTAGTTGTTTTCAAGGTAATTTCAAATGGTTGCTAGTAATTGTAAGCCATTTCATGGAATTTGATTAATATTATTGCACTATATCTCAAGCGATTTCTTTGTGTTTGGTTTAGTAGATTTTAAGTGACTTCTTATGTACTGCAAACGATTTTTCATCGATTGAGTGTAAATTTAATTACGTAATTTATTTATTTACTTACAATTAACTAAAAATCAATTTAGTTAGTAGACAGTTTTGATATGGATTAATTTATCACAGTAATTATTATTCATCACTCACAATTTATAATATAACACGAGCGGGAACTTAATACTTTACTTGCCATCGATGTTGACTCGAAACACATTTCGGTTTGCTTGTTCTTAGAGAACCGTCACGCGTTGATACAAAACCAGGATTAGGTCAAGTACCTGTAAATTAGTGTAGGGGGATTTTATTTTGTGAACATTAAAATTCGCCTTGAGCCGCAAGCGAAGTTATGTCAAACTCGCTTAGATGTCGTTCGTGCTAAGTGCGTGCGTAAAGTGTAAACGCCCGAATTAAAATTTTGGCGCTCCTCAGTTACAACGGACAATTGACTTAGAAACTATTACGGTAAATACGAACAATAGTGGAAATTTTAACTTACAGAGTTGAAATGTGTGAACCAGTCATTATGCGAAACCATTGAATTAATTTTTTATTCAATGACGAAACCTAGGATTTTGTATTCATTAAATCATTCTATTGGAGCAATCAGTACTTTGAGTTATTGCATTCGCTTTCACTGAAATGGGCCTAACCTGCAATGTTTTCATTTAATTTCTTTTAGGAGAATTTTTAGCAAGAAAAAAAAATTAAAATGGGAGGGGGGATGAAACATTCAATGGGAGTATCTCGAGAACGGGGGATCGGAAGTCGATACTCGCAAATGGAAAATGATATAGGTTTCTCATCCATTGACCTAATCGTATCACTAACAACGGAGATATACCTAGTGCATTTTGGAAAACAAAGTGCCGGAAAAGGTACTCACAAAGCGAAGATAAAAGTTTTTTGCTATTGTTTTGTATTTCTATTTGCGGATAAGACTTAATCGAAAAATTAACCTCTTGAAAATCGTATGTGATTCAACTTATCTTAATTTAATGTAGTTCTGCACGCTTGCGGAATGGACATTCATCTTTGGGCTTTGGGTCGAAATCTATACCGGTCGTACCTGTTCGTTATTCATTGGACACCCTTTAAGCTGTTTTTGTTACGGAAAACGGCAGAATGTTGGTTAATTCACAAATCTAAACGATGTTGTCACACTTCTCAGGTTTTTATTTCGTTCATCTTACAAAAATCTTATTCCGTGAAATAATAGCTGCGCAGCAACGTTTTTGCTTTTCTGTTAAATTCTTTGAGCATTGCAAAAGATCGCGCTAATGCAAAAAAAACATGTTCGTTTGTTCGCGCGAACCTCACAAACGGCACAACATTGGGACAAACTAATTAAGACTCGAAATACAGATGATGAGTAATTGTTGTTTCTTATTTTACAGGTTTAAACGATTTGACAACAAATATATCCGCCCATTCCTTTTGCGCAACTACCAAGGAGCAGAACCAAAAATTTTAGAAACCTATTCCAAGTTAGCGATGCGCGACGCCATGGAGTTTATGCGACGTAACGCTTCAACAATCGGTAATATATCTGGTACTGAAAGTATGTCTGGTATTTTCAAGAATTATACAGCAGGAAATCTGGATGGCAGGTGCGAAGAAAAATTACTAACCTGGTAACTAACATCGGCACAGACTGCCAACCTTTCTCTAACTTGTAGAATAAGCACGTCACACTAGTCCACTTTTCTTTTCTAATCTAAGCTTAGGTAACTCATAGGAGCTTTGCTTAGTAACGCTTGCATTCTTCACCTTCAAATGCAAATTAGTGAGGAGTAAGAGAGCATTTTTCGTTGCTTGTAACTATTTGGCTATTGCGCCAACGAAAAAGATTTTCCAAAAGTTGAACTAAACAAATTTTTTAGCACGAGCTTTAGTCAATTAGACTCGAGCAACTGGAATGTAGATATGCAGGAATTGGAATATAATCCTTCCAAGAAGGATTTAACGGATGCAAAGATTCATCATCTTCTGGCTGAAGAATTATGCCAACCAAAAAGGGTAAGCTTTTTTTAGGTCATACAAATTCACTAGGGATCAATTATTAATTTAAATTCTGTTGCACGTCATTAACGTATATACCGCGCACTGGAAAATTCCACAATAAGAATTTTCTGTATTGTGTTATTACTAAAGATGCACACATAATTTTAATACCAATGGTACTACCACTAAAATTGCTCATGCTACGACCAAGTATATTTTATGTATATTTAATTGAATTTTACAATTTCAGGGGTTACTGTCTTCAATCTTTATACTTAACCAACTTTCAATGGTTGTTTCGTCTCTACCAATACACCAGTTATGATAATGACCCTTAGGTATTAATTTAATTGGATTAAAGATACAATGGTATGGAGGCAATCGTAACACTGAATGGCCATATTTCTTCGCTAATTGATCCATATGGTACACTTTTACTGGTACACGATTGGTACATTGAACATTCATTGGAATAATGTCCCTCGGACGCACAATTGAAACATCGCACTGCTTGTTTCGATTTGCCACCTGAGCTCTCTGACTTTACGTGTCACATCGTGTCGCGCGTTTTCTCCATTGGATAATTTGTCTCGCCACGATTTTTTGTAAAGTGTTTCGCCGCCGGTTCGTGTTACTCTTTGCAAGGATACCATGTCATGCAAACGGTCATTGGCATCGCTATGTTCCTTGACCATTAAAGCCGGAATTAATGCTTTCTGCACCAGACACAGCTTGTTCTTTACACTCGCCCAAGGTTAAATTTAGTACGTTGCACCTTCTCGGTTTTTCATGAAAATGCAATTCAACGTTGTACTCGTTTTTCCATGCGTCTCCACGCGACTGTCACCGTTTCACGCAAGTCAAAAGTTAATGCCTTGTACTCATGGTATAATAACTTGTACTGGAACTGAAACTTTGGCCACGAACGGAATTTCGCCCTCCTAACGTGAAACTAATCTTTAGCTGGTCGCCACACAGTTTCCAATTTCATTTCGCCTGACCAGTTTTGCAGTATTGGGCTAGAGTAGGTATTACGGTACCTTAGCCTGGGAAAATTCTTGGGACAGTGGGGGGGGGGGGGGGGGGTGCAAGATCTAATTTTGGCAATTGGCCCGGGGATGCAAGATCAAATTTTGGCAGTTGGCGGGGGAGGGGGGGGGGTTAGGTCAAATTTTCGCAATTGGCCTGGAGTGCAAGGTCAAAGTTTTTACTTATCTTAATTTGCTCCACAGTCATCTATGCGATAATCCGTCCAGGTTCAGCCTCTTACGCAAAAACGTCATTGCACAAGATACATATTACTTCGCGTGTATACTCGCCACGATCTGGAAGAAAACTGACAGGTCTTGGTTGTGCGTTAAAATGACGCATGCGCACATTTCAAGGAAGATCGGGGCAAAGTCCATTCTCTGCTGTTCAAAACCCAAAGGTTGCTGCCCGGTCAAAAGTCCATTGTAAAAGTAGGTCAACCTACCGATCAAAGTCCACCCGCTGTTCAAAGTCCAAAGGTTGCCGATCGGGCAAAGTCCAAAGGTTGCTGACCGGCCAAAGTCCATTACACACCTGTTCTAAGTCGGTCAACGTCCATTCGCAGCTAATCAAAGTCTAAAGGTTGGTTTTCGGTCCAAGAATTCGTGTAAAGTCTAAAGGTTGCCGAACGGTCAAAGTCCGTTTCTCGCCATTCAAGTCCAAAGGTTAGTGTAAAGTACAAATTTCAAGTCATTCCATCACTTCTCTGCCCCTGGTTCGTTGAAGTTGGGAATTATTTAACTTAAATCGGGCATAATTACGTAGGGTCGCCTCAAGGATTGGTCGCTGTGCTGGGGCACGTTCCGAAGTGATGTAAGACAGCTTGCAATGGACGACCCCTGTCGCACAAGATCGCCTGTCTTATTCCCGCTTGTTGACGCTCGGGTCGCGTAAGCTCGAAACCGCTTGTTTTCGCTTCCAGTGGACGACCAGCCTTATGCTTGACGTTGACGTTTCATTGCACTTTAATTTGTTCCTGACGTTCTATATCCCGCTTCTGAATTTGTTGGCTTCCCTTTCAAGAAACTAGGATGAGAAATTAACCACAAACTCAGTTATTTAATCATTATTTAATTAAATATTCAGATTCAACTCAAACATGACCACACGACAGCGACACCATTTCTCAGTTATAACTTTCTTGCCAACTTAAAATCACAACAAAACTAGAATTCTAACCAAAATAAGCCATAGATCCTATCATTCATGTGGTTCAAAAGTAAATTGGTTTGCCATTTATGGTTTTCTCTTTCTACTTTATTAGTTATATGTCCCTATCCAATTCAATAACACAAGCAAATTTCATGAAAGGCACTATGAATACTCACTGTCCTTATTTAATTTACTGTTTCTTATGAAAGGGTGGTATAAACATTTTTAATAGCTAATTTTATGACGTAACGGTAATCACTCTTGGTTGTACTATTGTACAGGGTTATTCCGTATTTTTAGACAGCGCGTAACGCGTTTAGTATAAGAGATAGAAATAAACTTTAAATACAAAAGTTGTAGATTTTATCATAAATCGCCAGAAAATGTAAAGTAAAAAACCAAATGAATATCGCAAAGTTAATAAAAAATGCAAATTTCATAAATTTTTATGGAACGCCGTGTATATTTTTCAAAAATTGAATAGATCTTTTCTTTTTGATTTCAAAAATGTACACGTTGACGTTCGCTTTAGCGGTTTTTTTTTTAATTGTGATCATATCCAACATTTGTACATTTTGGTTACAACATTTTGATTATTGAAAATAAATATCAAAAAGTCAAGTTGGTTTAAAGTTATTTCCAGGGTAAAAATAATATGCTACTAAATAATAATGGCCATTTGTTTTGTTATGTCAACACCGATTTGCTAAAACAATTGGATAACAATGCAAATAAAAACCAATGTCCACATATTATAGAGATGAAAAAAAGATCTATTCAATTTTTTAAAAATATACGGGGCGTTTTTTCTGTAATGATAGACGCTGAATATACGGAATAACCCTGTAGGTAGACATGTACACTCTACAGGGTATAACACATAAAAATGTCAAAAAATTGGGCAGTAGAAAGGAGTAAAACAATCAGTTTTTTTTCCAAATAAACCAAATCTTTCGGGGCGTATTGTTTGGGAACTACACCCCCAGAACTCACAGGATTTATAACGGATATAACAGTTACTTGGTTTTTGTTTATGCTTTGATTTTCCAAAAACATTTCCAAAATTCCTACGACAAGATGGTGCAGCCTTAAAAGGGTCGCGAAAAGTTATCATTTCGGCAAAAGTTGGTATGTAAGAACTAAGAAGAGCCCCGAAGACAACTTACGAATCCAAAATAAATGGTCAGAATTTCATGAATTTTGTAGGTACACACACAAAAACTTTTCAAAAAATGTTAAGTGCGTTTTGTCGTCGAAATCACCTGACGAACATTTATGCTTTCCTCGCGAAAAAGTGTTCCGGATTAGGTGGAGAAAGGAATCTTTATCGTTGAGTTTTCTTTTGCACCCCCGTTTAGGGTGTACCACTTTATTAAAATTATATTTATAAAGTGGATTGTGACAGTATCGCCAGATTTGGAGTATTGGAAATCAAAAACCAAAAAGTTTTTTAAAAAATCAGGTGCCTTTCTCTGATTAATTGTCGATGTTTTTTTTTATTGTATTGTGTATCCAAAACTTTCAAGAAAATCTCGAAAATTGTACGTAATAATTGACATGGTGTCTCACAAGAAATTACAGAAAAATTAATTTAGTACAAAAATCTACGATAAATTTAGACAAACAACTCGTAAAAAGATAAATTTCATGTACATAAAAAACATTAAAATGGCATGGTTCTACTCCAGCATCGGTATGGTCGATTATCACAGTCAGACCCCGCATAATAAACAGAAGAAATGTTAATTAGAGGACCCCCTTTCTCGCATTCCTAAGACACAAAGAGGTGCAGTCCACACGAGATTAAAGAGGCAACCTATACAGCGAAGAATAGGGAATGTATGGGGTACTTTTTCCACGGGATAAACGGTTATTCGATTTATACAGTGCAACATCACACTGGTAATATACTTTCACGTGAATACATAAATAAATACTTAATAAAATAATATAAAGCCACCTGTACATTAGAAATAAACCTGGCCTGATGCACGCCATGCTTCAATAAACATATATCAGCATTTTATAACAAATGTAAATAATTGGGAGTTTCAAAACAAAATAAATTAAACAAATATAGCAAACGAGCTCCTGAGTATGGCTATAGCATGTGCAAAACCAAATTTTAAACCTGATGTTAGTTTTGCGTTTATTTAAAGCGTATATGTATGAAATTTCATTTAATTGCTTCCATAAATAAGAAAGTTGGCACTGCACCTCGCACTGCACATCCTACACAAAACCAAATTTGGAAAATGGCGCTACATTTGCTTTTATTCTAAGTGGCTGTGTATCAAATTTCATTTAAATCCCTCCATAAATAAGAAAGTTGGCACTGCGCATGCGCAAAATCAAATTTTGAAACTGGCGTTAAATTTGCTTTTATTCCAAGAGGCTATGTATCAACTTCATAAATAAGAAAGTTTGCAATTCGGTCTGCAAATGGTCGAATGCTGATCGATTAAGCTCAACTTTTGGAATTGTGTTTTATATAACTAAAGCTATGCGCATATAGAATTTCATGCAATTCGGTTCATAACTAACGGAGATGTCAAAAGGGCCTACTTTATTTTTTGGGCTACATTGCCAATTCACGAACTCCGATCTACAAATTTGATAAAGAATCCACCTGCAAAATTTCATCGTAATCGGTCCATTCGTTTATGAGTTATCGTGCTAACGGACGGACGGACGGATGGACAGACACCGTAAAATTATAAACTCGCTAGGAGCTCGTTAATAAACATTGAGAACAACCGGCACGCCAGCACGCTGGATGAGGGCTCGGAATCTAGAGACTCAAGTCAACTTTTCCTTGCCAACGCCAAGTTTAATATCCCAAAATCCCTGTTTCCCGGTATCTGCGCAGAAATCGAAGAGTTATCACGATTGTTATGTACAGAGCGTTTCGTAGTTTTTTCCCATAGTGCTATTTTTCTGATGTAAGTTATGTTACCTTACCGTAAGGGATATCACTGAAAATTCTTTTGGAAATTTACCACTAATAAAAGATTCATTGGTTTAACAGGGTAATTATTAAACAATTCGTACGTCATTTCTTTTTCTTTTTGTGAAGCCAGATTATAATTGTTCATCGTATACTTTCTTTGCATCATTAATAGAACGTCTATGTTTTATGTTGTTTTAATAGATTTTTATACGGCAGGAAGATAAGCCCTTCTCTATACAGCAGTGTAATGTAAGTCCATCAAACAGTATCCTGTCACTTTCTATTCCTGTTAAGTGATCGTATATAAAAACGAACGTTTTGCCATTACTTTTAATGCTTTTTATACACTTCGCTTGTCATCGTCTTGCTATGAGAGTCCAATAGTTCCATTTGAAAGAAATTCATGTTTCGTTTATAAATATGAATTGATGGGAACCATTTGCCTTTGTCACCTTATATTGCTTTAAAAAGTTGACCTTTTTGCGAACAACGTCAGATAACTCCATTAAGATTCGTTGTGGTTCATCTTTTTTCCGTTTAGTCCCAATATCTTTCAATAGTGGTTGAAACGATGTTTTATTGTTTTCAAAAAGGTGTATACTTTGACTGTTCATAGGTAAATGGTGGTGTTACATGCCTTAAATCGTATAAAATTAATTAATTTATATTAATGAAAATGATACAAACAGTTGAAATGTTTATTTTGAAAGCCGGTGCGATCAATAAACAAGGTTAAGTATTTGTTTTTGAATAACGAAAAATGCACACCCCTCTAACGCCTGCCATTAGATGTACGTGGCCCTTTCAAAATAATCGTTTAAGCTAACCACCAATTATTTAGCTTTGCCATGTAAATATACTTCGGCATTTCGACGAAAGGAAATCAACACTTCAATTTTGCTCTGAAAAGAGCAGTTTTTATAACTGAAAGGGAAAACCGAAAAACGTTCGGCAATGTTGATTATACCACACACTTGTATAAACTTCCTAAATATTTTTGGAATTGAAAATAACAAAAACAAAATTTTATTTTGTCGGTGACGTGCAACGGAATTTACAATAAACAAAGGTGGGTAGTTAACAATTGGTGATTTTCTTCTAATTTCAGCATCGGCGTCTTAGTTACAGCAGGCACGCTGTAAACGATAGGGATTTATCTACCCAAGTCAATTATAAGATGCATTACAATATGAGAAGGATGGTCGGTGATAGTAAACGACATCACCACAAACGACATAGTAAAAAGTTGCAGAAGGTATACGCTGACAGTAAGTGATTTAGTACCTACATCGTATTATTTCAGGACGGTAAACAAAACCACGTCAGCTTTCCAGAATTTCAGCAAAATGGTACTGCTAAACAATTTTCACATGGTAAGCATATATTTGTAACTGGGGAATATTTCAAATGCAGGGTGTTCTCCTATACAGCTCTAAAACAAACTCATAAAATAGATTTGGCTTTGGTTTGATTTGTTTCAAGTCAAGTCAACTTTTAAAGTGTGTCCAGGGTTTATAAAGGCTCTCTAGGACTTTAAAAGACTTTTTAATATTGCTGTATGCTGTCCAGCTGTAGCTCAAAACAAAACAACCTTTAACATTGTAATTATTTTCCTCGTTCGTCCCTTGTCACTATGGAAAATCTCAATCTTAACTTTAAATACAGTTTGGAGCAGTCAGTAGCCTCGATCGACTTCCTAAAATTCTAAAAAGTTTATTACACAACTTTTTATTAACACCTAAAATAAATCTTGGGCACGAAAAGAAAAATCTGACATGAATAACTCCATCCGTCGAAGAAACACACAATTAATTGATGGAGAAAGACAAACATTTATTCCGAAACACATGAAACAATTAAACCAAAATCCCTGACACAGAGAAAATCTTACAAAACTTGTTTGGACATATTACTCCGCACGCAGACAGTCGACAAATAAAATAAAAAATCTTAAAATTACTTACAGTTTTTTTTAATGATCAAATAATCTGGTCGTACAAGATTTGCGATATTCGGGCGCACCTATCTCTCACTAACGCTGACAGCTTCTGAACATCACACAAATTAAACTTCTTGCGGTTAACTTGCTTCTACACACATTTATTAAAGAAATGACGAACTGCGTCTTCAATAAAACAAGTTAACTGCCAAAAATTTAGCATAAACAAGTTTACACGCTCTTAAGCCGTCGCGAAACTAGCAGCAGCAGCAGTAGCCTCGTTTTCTCGTCGTCTGCAGAATTTAAAGAATCGCTACTTCCGCCATCAAATAAACTCATTCTTTAAGAAATTTCCAATAAACCGCCAATCACAATCGATTTCAATAACGCCAGCTTCGACAGAATACGTCCCCCGTCCTCGTTTCTGATGTCATGAAACACTCCTAACTGTTTCGTTAAGGTTCTTAAAACCCATGAGGTCCTTACATCATTAAAAGCTCTCAACGACTAACAAAAGCTGTTAATTAAAAGATCGGCTAGCCCTAAGAGAGCTCTTACGACTTTTAAACTTCCATCGAAGCTTTTTAGGTTGAAAACCTAAAAACTCTTGGAAGCAAGTGAAGGCCAAATGGTTTTAACGAATCCCAAAAATCTTTGAGGTTACATAAAAGCTCTTAAAGTTCTTCTTAAAGATTATTAAAAGCGCCTTAACGCATTAATAATAAAAAGGTGGCCCATTACAGACTCTCAAAAGCTATGCAATACCGAAAGACTCATAAAACCCTATGAATCATAAAATTTGAAAAAATTCATTAACGAAGGCAACTCGGCCTTTTCTCGGAAGTTTTCAAAAGATTGCACAGTTTACGCAATCCATTGAAAACCGAATTTGTCAATAAAGATTATTTAACTGCAAGTAAATTACGATATCTAAGGCTGGCTTACGTCATACTGTTTTATATACCGTCCATATTTCTCGAAAAGGATCTACCAGTCAAATTCAGTAATTATTTTAATGATAGGCTTTTATGGGATATTGATAACGTTCGTTAAATTAAACCTCATTGTCAAGTAGAGGTTTGTTTTCCTTTTCATGAGTAGGTAGCTGGTAGGTGCTTTTTCCTTGACAACGCAGTATGTATCTTACTATTGAGTGAAAATTGAATTGTTATGTTTCCTTTACAACACTTTTCCCTTCGGAGACAGGAAAAGGAAAAGTATAAAATCTGCTCTAGCGATAATGTCATACTTTGGCGGCTTCTACTCAGTCAAACAATGACCTAATATTTTGACGTGTGAAGAAAAAAACTGTTTTCGATGCATTGAAATTTTCTCCAATTGTCAGTTGAATTTTTCCTTTGGACTGCAGCAGCAATTTGGAAAATTGGATGGTCGTTCGGACCTCTTGTATTACCACTGAAATTGGTTTACTTGTTCAAAATTAATTCCGAAAAACGGTTGATGCAATTTGATTCGGGACCAGCCCGTGCTTCGGGCTTACTCTTATTTACTTAATTGAACTTTCAGTTATTCCCAATAACAAATTACCGATGTTACGCAGTGTGTACGTGTCAAAAATCTGTTAACAGGGTTTTAACAACAAACAGAAGCTTGAATTAATTGTCTTTAACCCTTTTACCGGTAGCCGTTTTTTTCATAATTTTGTTCGCACTTCATATAAACAAATTGGGTGTTGTAGTACGTAACTTGTTACTTCAAATCTGGTGCAATGTAATGTTTTGCACCTTGGATCCAAACTCTTTCGTAGTAACAATTTATCTTAATCTCCAAATCTGCACCGCACCGAAAAATGTTCGCTAACGGTCAAGCTTCTCAATATTTCGTCACACAATAAAGATCCTCTTTCTGCATAAACTAACCACGTATTATTATTTACTTTTGAGGGTAACTCATAGCGAATTTAGAAGGCACCCACATTCGTTAAACTCGTTAAAAATGGTGGCACAGTCTTTGGTTGGGAGGCCAAAGATTCTCCCACACCGCGATCTCAAAAAAATGGCACACAAAATCACAATATTCGCCTTGGTAGTTTTACAAATAATTTCGTTTTACGCGATTTATAAATCTCGCTCAACCGACCGACTGATTCTCTTCGCAGACTTCCGCTCTCTCACCAGATTCTTACTTAAATACTTTTTCTGAACGCATTTTTTTTTAAAGCACGCTCTCTTAACCAATACAAATCCCGTATTTTCATCACGTGCTCGACTTTTCGCAAACGGAACGCAACTTTTGAGGTCTGTGAGATCGTGGCAACGCTGTGACGTTTCGACTCTTATCTACTTGAACACTTGTTTCTTATCTTAACCTGCTTTATTTTCTCGAATAGGAGTTCTGTTCTCTTTCATTATAAAGCGGTACACGTAAAGGCCTAAAGCGACCACCTGTTACAATATTGTTATTCACCCACAACCGTTGGCAACAATTTACTTGCAGGAATAGTCTTGACCCTGGTTTTGACGAATTAAGAATTGCTACTAAATTCAAAAAGTTCAAGTCAAAACTTCTTACATCTAATAGAGCCATTTGACATAAACCCAATCTACTTACAATTTTAAATTAATTCATACGTTGCACCATTGAATAACGTTTTCACTCAACCGTTGCACAAGAATATTATATTCTGTAAAGTAAAGACCGTAACTGAAGGAAGTGGCTCCCAATTCCGCGAAAATTGAATAGAGCTAAGATTTTCCCATACGCTGTATATACCGTGAAAAGTTTCACAGAATAATATTGATGTTTCCGTATTTTCAGATTACATTAGTCAAGTATTAAGCGAAGAAGAAGTGCCTGATCCAAAAGCAAACAAGGAGGAGTGGGACAGTCCGATTACATTTACGGCAAAATCGTCACGTAAGTTACAATATAAGAGACTATGCTTGAAGTTATAATAATTTTTTCAATTGGCCGATGAATTTTAAATTACTCGAAAAACTAAAAATCTGCACGATAATGAGGTACCTCTTGACTATAAAAATGTTATTGTCATGTATGTATTTCAACCGGTTAAACATTCGACTATGTGTTAAGGATAAAAAGGGTGGTATTTTAGCGAGCGATGAAGCTCATATGAGTACGGGAACGGAAGGAAGCGGAAGTGTACATTTTGGTTTGTTGCTCGGGATAAAGAGATACAAGTCAACTGCGGCTGAAAATTACATGCCTTGGCGACAAGACAAAACGAAATGTAACGGTACAACACAATGCTTTTGCTTTGTTATAAAATTCGTTTTAGAATTAGTATACCTACCCTTTTCAGTGAAGTACGTTGTAGTAAATAGGGCCTGAATGATTGTTGTGTTTGTAAGTAGTCCCCTACAATTTGTATTTAAAAAAAACAGATTTTCCGTACTTTTGAACTAATGTACGTACTTCGCAGGGTTATTTCTGCTTGCAAGGTGTAGGTGGTAGATCATTATTGCACTGCTACAGCTATCAAACTTTAATGGTACCTATACATTGTTGTGCACATCCAAGTGGGTGATCTATTAAAATACTCTTTAAATATATATTGCATGGCACTTACATGGCAAAGAGTACCTAATAATAAGAGAACTCTTCGGCTACGAGTTTTGTGTCATTTCGCAGTTCAGTCGAATTAGGATGTAAAAACAATTGGAAAAAAATCTTGGAAAAGATAATAGGAAAAGACCAAGGAACGAAATATATGTGGGAGGATCATTTTTGTCGTTAGGGTGTGTAACTTGAGTAGGAAGTATGTCTCCTGACATTTTGTATGTAAAGAGCCCTCTAGTACTTACTTTGAGATAAAAATTAATTAAAATCACCTCGTTTATCTGCCAATGTTTACATATTACTCCAGATTCAATATATGATCGATTTTTTCAATTTCAAGAGCTCAACTACCTTCCGCAAATATTCCGTTGGAATCACTCAAACTCCGTAGGGAATACAAAGGAATAAAAAATGTTGATTTGATATCCACAATATGTCGAATTGGTTAATTGAAAGTGAATGAAATCCGCTAGCACCCTACTATATTTGTAGGTACTGTCCCAAAATGCTAGTACCAAGTCCATCAGACTTAGCGCACTTATTGTAAGCACCCTATCATTGAAAAGTTGCTTTTTAATAGCGTAATGCTAGCTCTTGGTAAATCATTTTTGCACAGTAAATGCTTAATTGTTCCAAATGAATTAAAAAGTACACTTAAATTTACATATCCACACTTCAATTTATTAAACACGGATAATTCCATGCAACCGTAATTTTGGTACAACCAAACGCATTAATTGTCGTTTATTTGCCCTGTCATAAGAAGCCACATCTCAACAATCTTTCTTATGTATGCATTCAAGAATAAAATACAGGTAATCAAGCTGCCGTTTTCTCTCAAAGTTTCTAGGAAGTGTTTCTGAAGTACAATTGTAGATTATTGTTTAAATTTTAAACTAATAAAAGTTCGGCTAATTATTTTCAAAATATACGACTAGCTCGCTGTGGTAAAACACATTTGCAGAACAAAACGAAGCGGACCGGAATGGGAATAGAAAGGAAATGGAACAAGAGCGGAATGAATTTGGTATTAATAGAAAGAAAGGCAAAGGGAACAGCACGAAAACGGAAATGGAAACGAAACAAAAGGGAAGTGGGAGGGAACAGGAGCGACATAAAACGGAACGGAAACAGAATAGAGAAAAGAGAACGGAACGGAAAGGACCCGAAACTCCAGCAGAACTGAATAAAAGGGCAACGGAAAAGAATGAGACCGGAACTGAAACGAATCATAATAGGAAATGGAACAAATTCCTCACGGGAATGAAACGGAATGAACCGGAGCGAAGCGGTACGTAACAGAAACGGAATAGAAAATAAACAGAACAGAGACTGCACATCAGTGACGGAATGAACCGTAAACGGAGGAACAGGCCGGAAACGGATCGTAACGGAAATTGAACAAGAACGGAACGGAATAGAAAGGAAGAGACAACGGAACCGAAACCAAAACAAATTGGATACAGGATGGAAGCGGAAGGGTAACGTAACGAAATGTAACGTGAATGAAAAAGATGGAAAGGCAACGAAAAGGGCATAGAACAGAAAAGAAACGGAATTGATGCGAGACTGAAACAGAAACGTAATAGTACAAGCGGTACGGAAACAGAGAGGAACGGAACATAAAGGAATCGAACACGTAACGGATATGGAAAAATAACCGAACGTAGCATAACGAAAACGGAACTAAATTGTAACGGAAGCAAAATATAACGGAATGAGAAAGATACATGCTGTAGGAAGGAGTTGTCATATAAATAAAACGGAAATGGAACGGAAACAAGTTTTACTTTCCTCCGACAACCCGCTTTTGAAATATCACCGATCACGATAGGTGGTCGAAGAGGACGACTATGGTCCCCCTCCCGAACCCCCTATTTTAATAAGGAGTGAGAAAGAAATTAGAATACCATGAAAGGTAAAATCAATTTCTAACCCTCACCCTATCTCGAAAAAGGAGTCGCGCAGGGAAAATAGTTTGTACAAACCAATTCATTTCGATGAAATGAGACCTTTAATTAGAATAAAATACCATGAGGGGTAGAACGTATGTTTATGCCCTCACCCACCCCCATTTTTGAAAGAGTTACCGGTCACCCCTAAAGGCATGCGAACGAAAACGGGACGGAGCGGAAACGGAATTGAACGGAAACGAAACCAAATGGAGACGGAATGGAATGGGGAACGAAACGGAAACGGAACGAAATGAAAAGGGAACTGAACAGGGACGTAACGGAAAGGAGAACAGAATTAAATGGAACGCAAACGGGGCACACCGTAATAGAACAAATGGAACGACAACGAAAGGGTAGCGGAAGGGTAACGGAACGATAGGTAAAGTGATAAGTTGATAAGACAATAAATTCACATTCGAAGCCAAATGAAAACGAAGCGATATCAAACGCGGCGGCGACACGTAAACGGAAGTGGAACGAGAGTGAGGGGGGGGGGGGCTACGACAACAAAATGTGATGGCCGTCTGGCACACAAGGTATATAGCCTACTTATTCAAAAAAATTCGAGGATTCTAGGACCATTTCGAGCGGACAAAACGTAAACAATAGTACGGAACGAGAACAAAAACGGAACGAGAATGAGACGGAAGCGAAATGGTAACGGAACAAACTATATCATAAATGGTACGGAATGAAGTGGAATGGATGTGGAATATAACAGAACGGAGACGTAACGGAAACGGAACGGAACCGTAACGGAAACGAAACGGAATCAAAACGGAATAGAAACGAAAACGGAATGGAACGGAAGCGGAATAGAGCGGAATGGAATGGAAACGGAACGTAACAAAAAGTGAACGGGGACGAAACGGAACGGAAAACTGGCGGAAACGAAAAGGAAACGCAACGCAAACGGGACACACCGTAATAGAACAAACGGAACGAAGACGATACGGAAGTGGAAGGGTAACGGAACGATATATAACGTGACATGCAAACAAACATAACGAAATGGAAGCCACATGAAGACAAGATAAAAATCAAATGTAAGAAAGAAACGGAAATTAAAAGGAAACAATTGGAAATGTTAACGACAGGGGTACCAAACAGAAACAAAGCAAAAATGAAACGGAGATAAACCGATTTGAGGTGAAACGAAAACGGAGCAAGAAGGAATCGGAAATGGAAATAAAGTGAAAAAAGAAGACAATGGAAACTAAACGGAACCCGTGCAGGAGGCGGAGACTGGAAACGCGAGGGACCGGAAACACATATGACATATGGAAGAAACAAAAACAAAACTGTAACGAATCGGAGCAGAATCGGGAGCGAAGAAGGCGAAACGGAAAAGAAGCGGAGACCAAATATAAACTAAATAGAAACTACACAGAAACGGAACCGGAACCGAAAATAATACCGGTGTCGAAAATGAAAACTCAGAGAGGGAACAAAATTTCAAGAAATGCGAAAAGACGGGGATGCTAAAAAAGTTGCAACTACAAACGGCAATTAGTGTGATCAAAATTAACATAACAAAATTGACTCCATGTACTTATTCCCAAATTGTAATAGTATCAATGGAAACACACTTCCGATATCGTGAGGCAACAAATAATACACGATGTAAATTCACAAACTCTTCAAACATTATTACACTTCTTCTTAATAGGTATTCTTTGCTGAGGTAGGCATTGTTCTTGAACTCATTTCTTACTTAGGAGCATTCCATTTCACTTAGCATGGACTTAAGAAAGAGTTGAACGACACTGCCTAACTCAACGACTAAAATGAAGGTAATGAATTTGTACCTAAATCATCTCTTTAAGTTCGGAGAACTGAATAAATAGTGAGTAGTTTTGAGAACTTGAATGTATCAACTGACTCCTATTAGTTAAAGCCACACCAACTTCACCTGGGGATACTAAATTTTGATCAATTGAAATTCAGTTACAGATGATAGTATATACTCAGATGGAATGAAACGTACGTCGAGAGGATCTATTGATGGTAAGCGTTAGAGTAGTTAACGATATTAAGGTGTGCACGTTCTTATAAATGATTAAATTAGAATCCACGAGGGTCACAACTCCGACTGCCACCGAAACCATGCTGCCCTGGAAAAGGGACGATGAAGATGAGTGTTCGGCACCATTACAACAGTGCGAGTTTCCTGCCTGGGCGTCTAACAAAGAGTACTTGGCTTACAACTCACCTTCCGCCACATTCCTTGGTATGTATCCTTCGAAATAAATACGAGAATAACAGTAACTTGTAGGGGGATTAGAAAATAACCGATCATCAGTGATCGGGTTATTTAGACGAGATAGCGCCGCATCTGGTCACATAAGCAGCTGCGAATCGTCGCCTCAGAAGGAGAGGCGGGGTTCTTCCGGTCCAAACGCTATCATACTAATAGAGGAAGATGTTGCGGATCCTCTAGGCGTACTTACGCGACAATTGACGGCACCGACGACGTCTCACCCGCCGCTAACTCCAAATCTGAGAAGACAGATCCGTAGAGGTTCAATGTTAGAAATATCTGGGTGTGTTGATGATACCAGTAACAATAATACACAGACATCTCATGTAAGAAGGTTTTTTTTGTTTGTTTTGTTTCTTCTGCACCGGTTTTGATTGGACTTACTTCGGTATGGTGATTGGTGGCTACGTTAGAGGAATAACCTATATATTTTCTGTTTGTCTCTTATGTTTCTATTCTTTTTCAATTCGCTTTTTGGTATTTTTGTTTATGTTGCCGATTACTAATTTTTACTTACACTCACATCATACATACCTGCACACACTTACCACAATATACAGGATGCGTTAAAATTGAATATAAGTATTACATCTTGTATGTTTGGTACCTACACTAGTATATAAGACTATCAAGAAGAGGAAACTATCGCAACACTAACATTTGCACAATAACACTCTCTACATGAACCCCACTTAAACGATTATAAGTGCTTTATTGTGTATATAACGCTTGGTTGTGTAGTATCACAGCTATTTTCCCAGATAGATGGAGAGCTTTTGTTAAAAATGGTACTGAGCAAATGTTTCAATATTATGATATTGATAATGTACTGAAATGCCAACATAATTAAGCAAGGAAAAAATTCTCAGGAATTTTGTAATTAGGTCGATATACCTAAGTTGATGCGGTTATTCGAGTTTTCTTGGTTCCCACAAGGCACTCTTCTTCCTCATGGTGGACCAGTGGACATGATTTGGATGGTTTCGTAATACCTGGCCTTCCCAACACTTTTATTTAACTGTTACTTTTTCCGTGTCCAGGTAAACCACGCATATGAAGGTTATGTCTTTCTCGTTTGGTGCAGAATTTGAAATTTCTACTCCTTAAAAGAACATTTGGAACAAAACATGATTCATTTTCAAATATTCTTTCGATTTATTAACTAATCATCTTGAAGTGCATTAAAATTGAATATTTCAAAAAAAAATTTTCAAAATTATGGATCGAAATATATACAGGGAATTTGAAGAGCGTGCAGATTTTTAACCGATTCTAGTTAAATTACTATCCCTCTTAAAGCGTGATATTCACAATAACTGACGCTAATGGGTAAAAAATTGTATATTTTGACAACTTTGGCGTGGGTAACAGACAGAGCGGGACACTAGGAAAATTCGAATTGTATTAACGATTTTATACTCTTGGAGACACATGAAAACATAATAGTTTTGAAGAACCCCAAGGACCTTTAATTAAAAGGTCATGAATCCTTTTAGATAACCTATAATGATCCTAGGGGTCCCACAAGCCGGCACTGCAATCTTGACTAACCTTATACAGCCTATACTTACAGGTGGCAACTCTCTGGGGGAAAGACATTACGAGCAAAGCCATCTAGCTTTCAAGTCGAACCGACTGACGTTTCTCGGTAGCAATCGGCTACAGGTCCTACGTTGTGTATACTATCAGTCTTTCATGTGTTGGGACGTGAGACCTAATCCGGAAGTGAATCGCACAAAATTTTGATTTTTTTGCGTAAGAAAAGACAAAAACAAATAAAATAGGTTACGCACACACAAAAAAGGTCAGGACTGGTTCAATTTAGGTAACACAACTCGTAAAATGGTAAATTGCACGGACAAAAAATATCACGTCAAAACAGGCGTCAAAAGCATAGCTTTACTCCAGCACCGACTTCAAATAATTTAACACGAAAAAGGCGTGTGAGTCTCAGTAATGGGTCTATCATCGCACAAGCAAAACTAAATAGAAGAAATGTTAATTAGAGGACCCCCTCTCGTATTGCATACGCGCCGTCCGGCAGTGGGCATGAGTAAAAGAAATCACTAGATACAGCGAAGAATCAGACTGTATAGGTACTTGTTTCGCAGAAACAGTTAAACCACTCGTACAGAGAAACATAAAATTAGATCTCACTTTTCGCATATGCTAAGACATAAGAGCTGCAGTCCTCACGAGGTAACGGAGGAAAGTATGCAGCGGAGAATCGTCCTACATGCGATACTCCTTCCAAGGAAATTGAAACAACATACTATACGCATGAAGCCCATTAAGAGCCGAACTCTTAAGGCTAATAAACCGCTAAGCCGGGTATAACAATGTATTGCAAAGCCAGCTCTACATCAATTAGTGCCTTAGTGGGCCACTTTGCGAGGTAATACCCTTTTGACAAATAGTCCATTCTCTTTGTGAGTACCGTCCTCTAGGTTCATCTGTATATCGCAAATAGATGTCGTGTCTACACGTTTTAATCGACCATTGTGAGTACCTTCATACGATCCTCCATTCTGGAAGTGTTCACACTTGAAGTTTTGACTGCACTGATAGATATCTCCTGTCCTTCCCTTTTTTCGAGATATTCGTAATTAAATTTTTAACCCCATCAACTGATACGCGTGGTCCAGATCTCCCATTCTCCCCTTGAAAGTACCCCTGTTCCAACACTGTTCTACCTATAGAAGAATTATGACCCATCTCGCTTACAAGGCGTCGGAGGAGTGAGAGTTAATATAAAACTATTCGTTTCGTTAAGACAGTTTCTCCCTCCACCATCTCACCTTCTACAGCACCCCACGTTAAATAGTGGACTAAAAACCGCGTAATTGCACTACTTTTCTTTTAATTTTGGCTTGGACGTTTGATCTCTAGGTGAACCATGTTAGTAGCCGTCGTTATCCATGTCTCGAGTAATATTCCGTTTCATAGAAAATTTGTACCGCAAAATTCTTTCCAAGGTGCAGATTACCTTTCAGAATACTCGCCCCTATCCAAATAGAAAACGCCATTTCGGTATAATTGTTTCAAATGGGGAAAACATTTCTGGGCGAATCGTTCGGAAGCGAATCGTCCTGGAGGTAAACATTACAGAGGCGAATTTTTCTGGGGACAAATATACCGAGGCACGGAACCTCGAGCGCCACTAGGAGTTTGTCGATCCTTGCTCCTGTTCGAGGATGGTGGGTTTCTGATCAGTCTAAGATTAAGCCACGGGTATTCAAACAGATAAGCGGAAAACTCCAGAGATCTTGGGGGCAAATGGCGGCGGTCACTGGCGAAAAATAATCGGCATACGGAAACTGTAGTGATTTCCCAAAACGGGAACGGAAGCACAAATTAACTTACGGTATTCTACGGGAAAATGAAACAAAGAAACTTCCTTATACGAAATGAAAATATCAAACGCGTATCTTGAAATTAAACGGCACGTTAAAATGCAATAATTTAATCCAAAATGCCAACACGGAAAAAGATCCCCCTAAATCGTCCTGTTACCTTATATAAAATTCCCAAAATTGTAGAAATAGAACTCGAATTTTCCAGCTGGTCACGCCGACTCCATCAGGTGATGACGTCCAAAAATTAAAACTTTTATTAAATTTCTCGGCTTCTGGTCATCATAAAAAACTGGGAACAATCTTAAAATTCAAGTTAATTAAGCGCGCTTCATTTGACACCAGACACTATATAATCCGACCAGGTTTGCGGCAGCACATCTACCCATATTTATGCTCACTCTAATGGTCGGGGCTGAAATTTCTAATTTCAGTAGCAATTTCGGCCAATCGCAAAAGGTCTACGATAATGAAATAAACTGCACGATTTTGCAGTTTTAATGCTCGTTTTCCCTTAACATTCAAAAACTAAACTTAGAAAACTGAACAATTAGGTACGGCTTCTCGGTTTCCTTATAGGCGGCTAAAACTGCGCTACAAATTATCTTCTATTTCCAATTCCTAGAAAAGAAATACATAGGTCCGAAAGCTACAGCTTCTCGTAAGGAAGCGTTGGTTTTCGTTCGTCGAAGTACCGGGTGTTCATTAAAGCTGGTAGTTTCCATCAATGAACGGTGCGTTCATTAATTCTGATATAATTCCTGTAGGTAAACGGGTGCTTCGGCACACCATAGTTTTCAAGCCAAGATGAAGATTTTTCATTTACTTGATGCCGACAAGAGGTTGTAGGCAGGCAAAGAACATTCCCTCAGACACCTCGTCAATGGTAGGAAATGAGATATAAGCTGGCAATCAGGGAAATTTGTTTCTTGTAATATTCGCTCCTTAAACAGAAGTGAGAGGCTAAAAGTATGATCACCGAGTGAAACAAGCGAGTCAATATAATTCTTGTTGTGTTTTCTGGTTCGGTCCCTGGTTCTTGGTGGCATTTGGTCGAGAGGCTGTGTTACAAATATGTTTCAATAACCAAAGTTTCTACTTGATAATATTCTTTAGCATGGCCGCTCCGTACACGTTGGTATAACCAACTCCAATTTTAAACCGTTCATGATATTTGCTTTTCTTCGCCAACACCGTTTCTATTAATTTGCCATAAACTGATATTTATCTACAACCAGTAACCTGTAGTGACTATAAGACATGAGAAGAATTTCCCAAATTAGAATTAGAAATGTTTAAAATGTTGGCATGTCAGTACCTTTAATTTCGTTCGATGATCATAAACTAAATCAATTTACCGTTCTAGAATAACACGTAACTCAATACCGGAGGAGACATTAAACAGACGTGCCTCGTGGCTACCACCACCTCCCAAATCATCACGAACACCACGGGTTAAAATAAAACGTCAGAGGACGGTCTCATCGAGCACAACTTTAATGTCATCATCTTCCTCTTCAGAAAGTTCAATTGAGGAAGAAGACGCGGACATACAAAGTTTAATGAAAGCAGGATTTTAATTATTTTGATTAATTTATTTGCAATAGTCGCATTTAACAATGTGAATAAAAAGTAAAGGACGTTCACGCTTCCGTACATTTTGTAATGAAAGTCTTAAGGTGCGTTTACACTTACTTTTTATTCGCGCTGTATCACACCAAATAGCTTCAGAAATTCTACATTTTCAAGGTGTGTAATATTTATCACGTATGTTTAAATTAGAAGCAACTCTGAGAATGCACGCCTCAGTAATTTCTGATTCGAAACTTAATAGTATTGTGTTTTTAGTATTTTTAATATTAGTTCTAGTTACGTAGTAAACAAATTTGTAGATTTCTAAAACTGTAAGTTAACTTATCATTTTTTATACCATTCTAATGTAGGATAATAATTTCAAAATTTCTCAGTTCAGCATTACGTCCAGTCTGTTTCAGTCAGTACTTACGGTAATTTGTTCTAAATAATATGCATACTTAATATAGTCAGGTCAGATCTGAAAAAATAATAATGTAGATAAGTACTTAAATAATGTAGTGGATTAGCTCAATTTTTTAGATTTACTTATTACTAATTAAGCGAGATCATACTATAGCCCATAGAAAATGATGAACTGTGCCTCATATACGAGTAGACCATTGCAGCATTTTTTAGGTAATTTTTTTTGTTTTACTTACAACGTATATGTGCCATTCTCACTTGCCCGTTAGAAAATGTTAATTTTTTAATTGTTGATAAGGAACTATTTACTTTTAGTTAATTTTGCATTCAGTTGATACGAAATGTGTACAAATTGTAAAAATGTTTTCTGCTTTTAAGTTTTGGGGCAAATCAAATGTCGCTTGTTATATCATTTTACATTTCCAAAATTGTAAATATTTACAGGTAAGGGACCTGTTATGAACCTTGTAGAGAATATTTTTGCAGCCTGACAATACCTTACGTATTTAAGCTCTGTGATTGTACATGTGAAGTTGGACTGAATGGTAACTTGTTAAATCTTAAACTTTAATAAAGAAATTGTTTTACTTAAGTTTTTTTTGCGTCTTAAAAGGTGATTTCACCCTGTATTTGTACAAGCAAAATCACATCGTTAATTCTTTTTTTGCTTTTTTTAGTGAAACATGAGAGCATAACTAATTTGAATTGGTAAGTGGCAGAAAAATAAACTGCAAAGAAACAGTAAAACACAACTCAAATACCTACTTAAGTAAGTTCATACATACAGATAAAAATAAGTACTTTTCAGGCCTCAAAGCCATAAATGCCTTTTACATTAATGAGTAGGTAGGTTTACCTCCGCAGTTTGTTCTGGGTACCATTTACCCAGATACCCCACCAAGACATCTCTGGGGAAAAATTACAAGCAGAGCCATCTAACTTCACGTCAAAATGAAGGCCGTTTGGTGCAATTTCCAAATGTCGGTAGCAGTCGACTTGGTCTGGGTGGTACGAATTGGAATCTTACGGGGTTCTACTATAGCAGATCTTTTGTGTGTCGAGGCATGAGACACAATCGAAAACAAACACTGTGAGATGTTTTTGCGATATTTCCTTCGGGAAAACTCGAGCCGGCAGGCTAGAAGTCAGAAAATATAATAATAATGATTATAAGACTTTTAACAATATAGGCAACCTTAGTTGCATCCGTAGTTCAGGATGATTGTGGTATCGTACTTAAATGGGTTAGTAGCGCCCTTTAATAGTAAGTAACAAAACGTCACGTGATATACGGACGCATTTTTGTATTGCTGTATTTTTGCATATTTGTGTAGTCAATAAATATTGGTTATTTAGAAGCATTCTTATTATTGTTATGGACTACCGCCAGCGAGGAGCTACTATATTACAAATTGGCGACGAGTAAAAGAAAAACTGTCGGAAACGTCGAGTGCAGAAGTTCATATGGCACATTCGTTCCACCAACGGGACTGGAGTTCGTACAGCAACCTGATGGATCAGAAGTACCTACTTTAATTACGTCAAAGCAGCAATGAGCTGCCTCGATCATAAATATTAGAGGACGCCAGTAGCCCATTACCCACCTGCTTTACTACAATGATGGTGGCCGGTTGCGTAGACACCGTCGACCGGTCGACGAGTTACTTGCAGCTATCAAAGGCGGGAGGTCAAATGTTATCTAGACGTGGGTTCGTATCCACTTTCCATCGCTGGCAGGGTTTCACTGGAATCCGCAGGGTGCCATTGTGGCCGAATGCGAGGATCAGTGGGCTTTGGACTGGTTGGAGAGGACCGTCCCTCTTATTAGGTCTGTTGAATAAATATGAATAAGTATACTTATTCAATGTTAGGTCCTAGGATGGCGCGTCTCTGAAAGTTCAATGGCACGTTCCTAGGGTAGCCACAGCGATGTTATACGGGCTCTTGGATCACGCGGCCACCATTTTGAAGCGCGTCCCAGAGGCAAAATCCTGGTTTCAGGACGAGCTTACGGAGGACGTCCTTCCGCAGGGAGGAGCCTGGTAGGGTCACCTCAATCCAGGTCCGAACACCCGACCTCCGGATTTACAGCCTAAAATACTCTACCACGGAACCATAAAGCCGGTTTCAGAATCCCCAGTTCACTGATCGGGACTGCTATGTAGAGACACTATCAGAGCGGTTGGATGGACCGCATTTGCTCTGTCGGAAAGAAGGGCAGGTGGGAGAGGCGGCCGGGGGCGTTTAACAACACCACGCTCGATTCAATTAGTGAGGCTGTTGAAGGTTTTAGCCATTGCTTTAGCATTGATGGGTCAATCGTAAGATGGATCCGTGAAAGAGCAAATGCAGGGGCTCTTGTGCAGGTCGATAGGAGCAGTGTGCAGTAGCCATGGCCTATTTCCGTTAAACCGGAAAAACCGAGGTTATTTCATTTTTGCGCATAGAAAGAGAACGAACCTCTTCGAGGACGTCAACTGGGTCTGACCAAGAAAGGGCACATTGATCGAATAAGCAAAAAGGTCATTATTTGTTGTACATTGGGCTTGAACCCTCGACTGGTATTACATAGAAGTGATAACGATAAGGCCAATAATACTGTACGATGCATCTTGTATAGTGGCCTGTCATGCGCAGGGCAACCTACAGGAAGCAGCTAGGAAAGGTTCAGAGACACTGAGAGTCACTGGAGCCCTGAAAACCGCGCCAACGTTGGCCTTCTAGGTTTCTTGGTTTAGAATCTTTTCACTTCCGTGCGGCTAAACGATTGAGACGAGTGGACGGATTGAGGCTGCCTTGGACACGGGCGGATCTGGGAGAATGCCCTTGTCTTACCCACAAGTTATAAAGTCACACTCTCTGACAGGGAGCAGTGCCCGTTCTTCAAATCTGAGTAGCTCGTGTGGTATTATAGACGGGTCTCTAACAGAAAGTGGAACGGGCATGGATATATGTAGTGATCGACCGAGATATGACATCAGTGGTCAGTATAGCACCGTGTTGCAGACAGATACGTTGGCCATTATCAGCTGCAGGAGAACCTCCGTAGAGGTTACCGTAATAAGCGAACTCAAGGTAGATTAGGTGAGTCTAATAGGGTAAGCTTAATCTGGGTGACAACGCACTGCGAAATAGGGGACAACGAAAGGGCGGACGAACTGGCTCGTAAAGGCAGTGGTGGGGTATTCGTCGAACCCGTGTCTATCCTAGGAATTGTGCTCCCTCCGTTCTCATACTGGGTGACCAGTCAATTCCAGACTCAGTAGCATTAATGGAGGTGAAAATGTAACCAGTATTCAAGGTAAAGCCGATTGTGGACAAACAGACCCACATACCAAACGGAAAAAAGTTAATTAGAAGACGCATCGGGCAGCGATTACGAGACGGGAAAGGAACAGATACAGTGAAGAATAATAGCTGTATTACGTGCTTTTTCCACAGTAGAAACGGTTAATAGAATCATACAGGGTAGTACAGACTCTCCTTTCTCACGAATATATAAATAAATACTTATTAAACTATAACTTATTAAAATATAAAGACATAATCACCTCTACATCATAACAAGAAAACATGATTCAATTATAGATAACGATACACAAATGCAAAACAATAGTTTGGCGATATGCTTCAACAAACATATCAAATATAATACAAAACGCAAATAATAATATATTGTGACGCGCGATTTAAAAATAGATTGTTAGTACGAGAAAGAACAAAAGAATAAAAAACAAAAACAAAGAAAATAAACATGATGAACAACCGGTACGCTCGCATGTTCCTCAAGCATTCGAAAAACAGTAACCCACGCCGACTTCATCCCCAAAAATCGCTGTTTCCAGCATCTGCGTAAAACTATCAAAGTCGAAAACATATCCCGATTGCTGTATACAGAGCGTTTCGTAATTTGCCTCATAGTGATATTCTTTCTGCTGTCAGGTGTGTTGGCTAACCTTAGGGGCATGTCACCTCAATTGCATTGAAGAAATTGCCTGCACATGGTTCAGGGTTCCAGCATCTAAGCTAGTCAAGGCTGAGAGTGTTAATGCAAGAGCAATTCCGGGTCGAGGACAACCTTAAGAACAATTTGCACTCAAAACGTGAAGAAAGAAAACGTCTTGTGACAAATATAGCAAACGAGCTCCTGGGTCACTGAAAATTTAATCAGTTCTTCGTTGGGTGATGATGAACAAAATACTGAAATCAGAATTGGAAAATTCGAAAGTTATCTTGTCGACAGACGGACGGGCACAAAGTCCAAAATAATGAACTCGCTAGGAGCTTGTTAATAAGTCTGCATTTTGATTAGTTATTTTAATAGTCAATAATCTCGAATGAGCAATAGTGAAAATATCAATGCGTAAGATAATTTGTTGCAAATGATTGATCATAACGCATAATAAATATAAATCAAATACACAAAAAAAGCAAGTTGAAAAACAAAGAACTGGTTGGGGTTCAAGCGAGTGGCAAAACAACAGGTGACCCAGCAACGTTGGACAACGAGAGTCCAGGATAAGGTCAGAACGCAGAAATACAAAAGTAGAAATGAAATGAAATTTTATACATAGGCATTTGGAATAGATACAAGTCTAACACCAGTTGCAAAATCTGGTTTTGCGCATGCGCAATGCCAACTTCCTTATTTACTGAAGCATTTAAATGAAATTTAATACATAGGCTAACTACACTAATTCGGACCGCGCGAGTGAATTACTACCTAAATTAATCAAAGTTTTAGACGTTTTACTTTAACTAAAAGTTGCCAAAGAAGAGTCGGGAGTTACGGATAGCGGAAGTCGTAAAGTCTCGCGTAAAGTTATCGTGAATTTGAACTCGTCGTTGATACTCAACTTAGGGAAGTGGATAGTACAACGTAAGCCGGGGTCGCATTTCACCATGTGCTCGTAGTCCATTGCGTTTGAATTACAAATGTGTCTTCCGACGGACTGCGTAAATTGGACAATCTCTTGAAATTAAAAAAAGCCAAGGCGCCCTCGTTTAAGAAGTATAGAAGTTTCCACCCATGAATTTTTTGTTCGACGACCTTAAAATACATTACATTTTTCTTATATTTGTATGTTCAACTCTGTGCCTTATAGATTTTAAGAGACCTGACCCTTGGAATATGAAAAAATTTTCTAATAACGATTTATTTATTTATTTATTTATTTATTATCCCTTTCTTGTTCTGGGTCCTCAACAGGCTTACGCCCAATACTTTTTAGAGGTCCCTCTACAGAACGTTTTAAGTTTTTCTATACAAGCTGATTTAAATTCTAGGGCCACCATGGGGATCTCGGGAACTGTAAAAGATAGGTAGGTACCTAGATTAAATTTGGCAAAGTTGCGTATTTTGATGCTTAACAAAATGCAGTTTTGAAACTGAACAAATACCGACTACTTTCGGAGGTATTCGGAAAAAAACGAAATTTTGCAAAATCGTTTTTATTTTTTACTGAAGTTATTTAACAAAATATTTCGAAATAAATGACATATTATTATGCCTCTATAATATGCTACTTTTACATTTTAAGTATGACGTTTCATCTCCAGTTAACCATCATCAACTTTGTTTTTGGTATGGCA